GTTTGCAAAGCCTTTAACTTGTTTTTTGAATAAGTCTCCAAAGACCATAGCGTCCATGAAAGAGAAAAATTAAAAAAAAAAACAGAAACAACGTTAAATATATATATCGTTTCAAAACATGTAATAAAGAACTGAAAGGCAGAAATATAATATTTGAATGAAAGCTTTTTCTCTAATATACTTTGATCATTTTTATCATGAAATAATAATACAAAATGAAATTTGCTCACGTTCGTATAGTAAGCCAAGGTTGCACATCCTACGCATACCCCATCAAAAAAGTACCATGCTCCACCGGTGGGGCATGCGACCCACGTTTGAAATCATTACCACAGACAAAATTAGTCATTGGTTCACTGGGACAGGAAATGACTCGTAAAGGTTAACGCCTCTAAAACAAAGAAATGAAGGACGAAAATAATAAAGAGCAAGGAAGTAAGATGGATAGGAAAGCCCAACTAGCGTCCAGTTAGCAGACAAAAAAGAAAACTCTGATTTAATACAGAACCTGTGTTGACTTATCTTTTTTGCCTGCTTAATGTCGACGTGCCCACATATTTTATTTTTATAATTTTATCACAAAGAAGGCGTTAATGTCACTAAGACGCAAGGGGTTTCTGGCTGTGGAAGACAACGAGAAGATATTAATGAAAAGAAAGGACAATAAAAGAAAAGAATTCAGGATGTCAAATTGATGTTGCATTTATTTATATTATTAAAGATTGTATGTGGAAGGGAAGCAAGAAAAATGAAGAAACTTCTATGGATTAGAATTGCGAGAAAAGAATCAATTAGAATAAAACTTAGATTAGGTTAGATCTATTTCATTAGTAAAACGATGAGATCCTGCCACTAATCTAATAGTCGATTTTCTAGTTCACTTAAATTCCCGGTGTTGGCGGTACCAAGGAGTAGAGGTCCTTAGAACAACTGCTATGAAAATATTTATAGAAAGGACAGAGAGAAGCTACGTCACGGTGATGAGGAAGTGTCTGAATCAAGATGATAGATCAAGACCGATAACGATACGAACCCTTCATTGGATTTTACCGAGATCTCGAAATATGTAGCCGGAACACCAGAGCAAATATCCAATTCTGGACGGATAGTAGATTTATAAATATGCAAGTTGAATTCTGTTATATTCCGTGCTAAGGGAATAAACACTTGACACCATGTGGATACTAGAAGAAAGGTTTATTGTACACAACCAGTACAATATAAAGTACGGTACAGTTATACACACAGGTCAATCTAGTAGTGAGTGCCACTAATTGGAAGGTCGAGCGTGCTTGCATCGTCTCTCTCTCACTATTCCTCGAGTTGACAGTTAACTTTATAGGTACTTACTACCTATAGTGTAATCATTCATGGGGGTGACTGGTTATTCTATTACATCAAATACTGAAGAGAAAAATTGTATTTCTCGACACAGTGAACAACGTTCCTAATAGAAGACTTAGCAATTGATTCAATATATTGATTCATTATTCTCGTGGGTGTAACGATAAACTAAATTCAACTGCATGGCCACTGATCAGAAGATTAGTGTTTTGAGGAGCATGGAACGACATCTTAATTGCTGTTGTTATAAGGCCCATCCTGACCCAGGGTTGTAGCAGCAGTTCGGGCCCCAGCTCTGGGCGAATAGTGAAATCTTCAAACAAAACGCCATAAAAGTATAAAAATACATGTTTATAGTAAAAATAGCAGTACATGTTTATATAATAAGACCAACAATACATATTCATAGTAAAACGGCCAACAATACAATTTTAGTAAAATGATGATATTATATATTTTATAGTATAATGACCAACAATATATTTTTATACCAAAATGACCAACAATACATATTTAGAATAGAGTGCTCATTAATAATTATTTATAGTAAAATGACCAACAATATATTTTTATACCAAAATGACCAACAGTACATATTTAGAATAGAATAGCCATTAATAATTTTTTATAGTAAAAAGACTAACTATATATTTTTATACCAAAATGACCAACAATACATATTTAGAATAGAATGGTCAGTAATAACTTTTTATAGTATCATGACCAACAATATATTTTATACCAAATTGACCAACAGTACATATTTAGAATTGACTGGTTAGTAATAACTTTTTATAGTATAATGACCAACAATATATTTTTGTACCAAAATGACCAACAATACATATTTAGAATAGAATGGCCATTAATAACTTTTTATAGTAAAATGACTAACTATATATTTTTATACAAAAATGCCAACAATACATATTTAGAATAGAATGGCCATTAATAATTATTTATAGTAAAATGACCAACAATATATTTTTATACCAAAATGACCAACAATACATATTTAGAATAGAGTTGCCAGTAATAATTTTTCATAGTAAAATGACCAACAATACATATTTAGATTAAAATGAACAGCAACATTTTTATAGTAAAATGACCAATTATACTCGTTTATCGTAAAATGAGCAGTATTATATTTTATCCGTAGTTGAAGGCAAATTATGTTCAAAATATATAGATATCAACATTAAATAAACCATAAATCTTGATATGCCGCTATTCTAAATCAATCAACCAAGATGAAAAACACTTTCATGACTTTCCTATATTCCATATAATATCCGACAATTTCTCAAAGAAATCAAACGGTATTCCAAATTATAACATCAATAAAACGACATAAAACACACCGCCTCTCGTAATTGTGTCCACAGAAACATGCATATGTGAAATAGCTGAATATAATCTACAATTTATTCAATTGTTAAAGCAGATTATTACACCAAAGCTCTCATGAGAATAAAATTTCAGCATTAAATGACCCATAAGTAGTTACCGGTTAGACGTACGGAGAGTACGAAGGGCGAAACGTTGTGAGTAAAACAAAGCACAATAATTACTGTATTTGCCATGTTTGTAGCTTTTAGCGTCCCAAGCGCAATTGTCTTAGTACAATCCATGACCATTAAACAAGAATTAAATTGCGATTAACAGAACATTTTCAATTACTCGGGGCCAATTCCAGAAATCGGCATCTCATAAGATTTACTTTAGAATAGAACCAAAGCCCAAAACAAGTGATGCTGCCAATTCAGATATGCCAAACGGAAGGTGTTAGAGTTACCAAGAAAAATATGTCTATTCCCTATTCGACGCATAATTCTTTTCATTAGTGTTTTTTAGACTTGAACGATCACTGCAAATCAATGTGATTTATCATCTGCAGTATGAGAGATCTTTCCCAGCATGCACCTCTGCTCAGGCCGATTTATATTTATTCACCACTGATAAACTGAACATGTAGTTTGCGCTGCATCTATGCTGAGCGGGCTTTAGTTACAATTCAAGTTTGCGCCTCACGCGTTTCACATACGGTTTTGTATTCAAAGGTTTCTTGTTTTGTTACTAATGGGAGAAAGGACAAAAATGGCCGCGATAACATTTAGATACGCAGCCAACTAATTTCACAAGACGAAAGATAGATATTTACTCAGAATAAAAAGTTGTAATAGCAAACTCATTAATGAATAATCAAATGAAGTTACCTTACAAATATTTAATCTGTAGCAGGCTACGGTTTAACTTCATTAAATACAAGTACGGATTTTATAGACTGGATTAGGTTTTCTGTCAGATAATTTGATGCTACTTGTGACGATGTCTTAAACATAAGACGAAATATTTAGATTAGGTTATTCAGTGAAGTTACCTTACAAATAATTACTCTACACTAAAAAAGGCTACGGTTTAACTTTATTAAAAGTTCAAAGCTTGCAGTCCGGATTCTATAGATTGGATTAGGTTTTCTGTCTGATTTTTGATGTTAGTTGTTACGATTTCTTAAACATAAGGCGAAATATTTAGATTAGCTTAATCGAGAAAAATGTACACAGATTTCCTTTTGGGGGATCAAACACACGATACAAGTAAAATGGTTTGTAGGAGGAGATTATTAAGAATTGTGCCTTTAACGGTGCACATTACAAGATTATTCCTATTTAAACTATTTAAATTGTTCGGACTGTTGTCCTCATCTTTGTTGCCATATTCACTCCTTCAATATCTGTCTATATATCTGAGATGAGGTATTGTGATTATTTACACTATTTACATTGTTCGGACTGTTGTCCTCATCTTTGTTGCCATATTGACCCGTTCAATATCTGTCTATATTTCTGAGATGAGGTATTGTAATTATTTACACTATTTACATTGTTCGGACTGTTGTCCTCATCTTTATTGCCATATTCACTCCTTCAATATCTGTCTATATTTCTGAGATGAGGTATTGTAATTATTTACACTATTTACATTGTTCGGACTGTTGTCCTCATCTTTATTGCCATATTCATTCCTTCAATTTCTGTCTATATCTCTGAGATGAGGTATTGTAATTATTTACACTATTTACATTGTTCGGACTGATATCCTCATCTTTGTTGCCATATTCACTCCTTCAATATCTGTCTATATTACCAAGATGAGATATTGTAATTATTTACACAATTTACATTATTCGGACTGTTATCTTCATCTCCATTGCCATATTCACAACATTTTGACCGTTGTACGCTCCGGCCTTCTTCAGATGATTGGAATTTCGAATCGAACCCTTTTTCGTCCACCAATTACAGACCTAGTAAATGAAATATACAACAGGAGCGATATAGCGGAAGACTTAAGTAGATCTATTTTCATAACCCTGGCTAAGGAGACAGGTGCAAACGAATGTAAACTCCCATCGTGCAATCTGCCTAATGAGTCGTGTAGCAAAAATTAACATACTAAATGAAAGTACTATAGGCTGGCCCGAAAACTCTCCTGATTTAAATGCAATCGAGAATATGTTGTCAATCCGCAAGGAACAACTTCATGACATACGAAGTAATAACATGTGCCCTTGGTCATGTTTCATTGGGAAAATGTGAAAAAAAGTAAAAAATAACGGAATTATTCGTTTTGCTCAATTCATTTACACAAAGTTGTATCTATGTATCTATCTCATTTTGTTCAGATCTATCTATCTATCTCAGTTTATTTCTATCTATTTATCTATCTATAAATCAATCTATCTATCTATTTATCTATCTAACTCATTCTGTTCATATCTATCTATCTATCTATCTCATTTTGTTCACATCTATCTATCACAGTTTATTTCTATCTATTTATCGATCTATCAATCAATCTATCTATCTATCTATTTAGCTATCTACCTCATTCTGTTCATATCTATCTATCTATCTATCTATCTATCTATCTATCTATCTATCTCATTTTGTTCAGATCTATCTATCTATCTCAGTTTATTTCTATCTATTTATCTATCTATCAATCAATCTATCTATCTATTTATCTATCTACCTCATTCTGTTCATATCTATCTATCTATCTATCTATCTATCTCATTTTGTTCAGATCTATCTATCTATCTCAGTTTATTTCTATCTATTTATCTATCTATCAATCAATCTATCTATCTATTTATCTATCTACCTCATTCTGTTCATATCTATCTATCTATCTCATTTTGTTCACATCTATCTATCTCAGTTTATTTCTATCTATTTATCTATCTATCTATCAATCAATCTATCTATCTATTTATCTATCTACCTCATTCTGTTCATATCTGTCTATCTATCTATCTCATTTTGTTCAGATCTATCTATCTATCTCAGTTTATTTCTATCTATTTATTTATCTATCTATCTATCAATCAATCTATCTATCTATTTATCTATCTACCTCATTCTGTTCATATCTATCTATCTATCTATCTATCTCATTTTGTTCAGATCTATCTATCTATCTCATTTTGTTCAGATCTATCTATCTATCTCAGTTTATTTCTATCTATTTATCTATCTATCTATCAATCAATCTATCTATCTATTTATCTGTCTACCTCATTCTGTTCATATCTATCTATCTATCTCATTTTGTTCAGATCAATCTATCTATCTCAGTTTATTTCTATCTATTTATCTATCTATCTATCTATCAATCAATATATCTATCTATTTATCTATTTACCTCATTCTGTTCATATCTATCTATCTATCTATCTCATTTTGTTCAGATATATCTATCTATCTCAGTTTATTTCTATCTATTTTTCTATCTATCAATCAATCTATCTATCTATTTATCTATCTACCTCATTCTGTTCATATCTATCTATCTATCTATCTATCTCATTTTGTTCACATCTATCTATCTCAGTTTATTTCTATCTATTTATCTATATATCTATCAATCAATCTATCTATCTATTTATCTATCTACCTCATTCTGTTCATATCTATCTATCTATCTCAGTTTATTTCTATCTATTTATCTATCTATCTATCAATCAATCTATCTATTTATCTATCTACCTCATTCTGTTCATATCTATCTATCTATCTATCTATCTCATTTTGTTCAGATCAATCTATCTATCTCAGTTTATTTCTATCTATTTATCTATCTATCTATCTATCAATCAATCTATCTATCTATTTATCTATCTACCTCATTCTGTTCATATCTATCTATCTATCTATCTATCTATCTATCTATCTATCTATCTATCTATCTCATTTTGTTCACATCTATCTATCTATCTCAGTTTATTTCTATCTATTTATCTATCTATCAATCAATCTACCTATCTATTTATCTATCTACCTCATTCTGTTCATATCTATCTATCTATCTATCTCATTTTGTTCACATCTATCTATCACAGTTTATTTCTATCTATTTATCTATCTATCAATCAATCTATCTATCTATTTATCTATCTACCTCATTCTGTTCATATCTATCTATCTATCTATCTCATTTTGTTCAGATCTATCTATCTATCTCAGTTTATTTCTATCTATTTATCTATCTATCTATCAATCAATCTATCTATCTATTTAGCTATCTACCTCATTCTGTTCATATCTATCTATCTATCTCATTTTGTTCAGATCTATCTATCTATCTCAGTTTATTTCTATCTATTTATCTATCTATCAATCAATCTATCTATCTATTTATCTATCTACCTCATTCTGTTCATATCTATCTATCTATCTATCTCATTTTGTTCAGATCTATCTATCTCAGTTTTTTTCTATCTATTTATCTATCTATCAATCAATCTATCCATCTATTTATCTATCTACCTCATTCTGTTCATATCTATCTATCTATCTCATTTTGTTCACATCTATCTATCTCAGTTTATTTCTATCTATTTATCTATCTATCTATCAATCAATCTATCTATCTATTTATCTATCTACCTCATTCTGTTCATATCTGTCTATCTATCTATCTCATTTTGTTCAGATCTATCTATCTATCTCAGTTTATTTCTATCTATTTATCTATCTATCTATCTATCAATCAATCTATCTATTTATCTATCTACCTCATTCTGTTCATATCTATGTATCTATCTATCTATCTATCTCATTTTGTTCAGATCTATCTATCTATCTCAGTTTATTTCTATCTATTTTTCTATCTATCTATTTATCTATCTACCTCATTCTGTTCATATCTATCTATCTATCTATCTCATTTTGTTCACATCTATCTATCTCAGTTTATTTCTATCTATTTATCTATCTATCTATCAATCAATCTATCTATCTATTTATCTATCTACCTCATTCTGTTCATATCTATCTATCTATCTCAGTTTATTTCTATTTATCTATCTATCAATCAATCTATCTATTTATCTATCTACCTCATTCTGTTCATATCTATATCTATCTATCTATCTCATTTTGTTCAGATCATCTATCTATCTCAGTTTATTTCTATCTATTTATCTATCTATCTATCAATCAATCTATCTATCTATTTATTTATCTACCTCATTCTGTTCTATCTATCAATCTATCTATCTATCTATCTCATTTTGTTCACATCTATCTATCTATCTCAGTTTATTTCTATCTATTTATCTATCTATCTATCAATCAATCTATCTATATATTTATCTATCTACCTCATTCTGTTCATATCATCTATCTATCTCATTTTGTTCACATCTATCTATCTATCTCAGTTTATTTCTATCTATTTATCTATCTATCTATCTATCAATCAATCTATCTATCTATTTATCTATCTACCTCATTCTGTTCATATCTATCTATCTATCTCATCTTGTTCACATCTATCTATCTATCTCAGTTTATTTCTATCTATTTATCTATCTATCTATCAATCTATCTATCTATCTATCTACCTCATTCTGTTCATATCTATCTATCTATGTATCTCATTTTGTTCACATCTATCTATCTATTTATCGCATTTTGTTCATATCTATCTATCTATCTATCTATCTATCTATCTATCTATCTCATTCTGTTCATATCTATCTATCTATCTCAGTTTATTTATATCTATCTATCTATCTCATTCTGTCCATATCTATCTTTCTATCTATCGATCTATCTATCTCCTCCTCTTCGTATCTGTCTCATTCTGTTCATATCTATCTATGTATCTATCTATCTCATTTTGTTCAGATCTATCTATCTATCTCAGTTTATTTCTATCTATTTTTCTATCTATCTATTTATCTATCTACCTCATTCTGTTCATATCTATCTATCTATCTATCTCATTTTGTTCACATCTATCTATCTCAGTTTATTTCTATCTATTTATCTATCTATCTATCAATCAATCTATCTATCTATTTATCTATCTACCTCATTCTGTTCATATCTATCTATCTATCTCAGTTTATTTCTATCTATTTATCTATCTATCAATCAATCTATCTATTTATCTATCTACCTCATTCTGTTCATATCTATCTATCTATCTATCTCATTTTGTTCAGATCAATCTATCTATCTCAGTTTATTTCTATCTATTTATCTATCTATCTATCAATCAATCTATCTATCTATTTATTTATCTACCTCATTCTGTTCATATCTATCTATCTATCTATCTATCTATCTATCTATCTATCTCATTTTGTTCATCTATCTATCTATCTCATTTATTTCATCTATTTATCTATCTATCTATCAATCAATCTATCTATATATTTATCTATCTACCTCATTCTGTTCATATCTATCTATCTATCTATCTATCTCATTTTGTTCACATCTATCTATCTATCTCAGTTTATTTCTATCTATTTATCTATCTATCTATCAATCAATCTATCTATATATTTATCTATCTACCTCATTCTGTTCATATCTATCTATCTATCTCATTTATTTCTATCTATTTATCATCTATCAATCAATCTATCTATTTATCTATCTACCTCATTCTGTTCACATCTATCTATCTATCTATCTCATTTTGTTTCAATCTATCTATCTCAGTTTATTTCTATCTATTTATCTATCTATCTATCAATCAATCTATCTATCTATTTATTTATCTACCTCATTCTGTTCATATCTATCTATCTATCTATCTATCTATCTATCTATCTCATTTTGTTCACATCTATCTATCTATCTCATTTATTTCTATCTATTTATCTATCTATCTATCAATCAATCTATCTATATATTTATCTATCTACCTCATTCTGTTCATATCTATCTATCTATCTATCTATCTCATTTTGTTCACATCTATCTATCTATCTCAGTTTATTTCTATCTATTTATCTATCTATCTATCTATCTATCAATCAATCTATCTATCTATTTATCTATCTACCTCATTCTGTTCATATCTATCTATCTATCTCATCTTGTTCATCTATCTATCTATCTATCTCAGTTTATTTCTATCTATTTATCTATCTATCTATCAATCTATCTATCTATCTATCTATCTACCTCATTCTGTTCATATCTATCTATCTATATCTCATTTTGTTCATCTATCTATCTATTTATTTTTGTTCATATCTATCTATCTATCTATCTATCTATCTATCTATCTATCTATCTATCTCATTCTGTTCATATCTATCTATCTATCTCAGTTTATTTATATCTATCTATCTATCTCATTCTGTCCATATCTATCTTTCTATCTATCGATCTATCTATCTCCTCCTCTTCGTATCTGTCTCATTCTGTTCATATCTATCTATGTATCTATCTATCTCATTTTGTTCAGATCTATCTATCTATCTCAGTTTATTTCTATCTATTTTTTCTATCTATCTATTTATCTATCTACCTCATTCTGTTCATATCTATCTATCTATCTATCTCATTTTGTTCACATCTATCTATCTCAGTTTATTTCTATCTATTTATCTATCTATCTATCAATCAATCTATCTATCTATTTATCTATCTACCTCATTCTGTTCATATCTATCTATCTATCTCAGTTTATTTCTATCTATTTATCTATCTATCAATCAATCTATCTATTTATCTATCTACCTCATTCTGTTCATATCTATCTATCTATCTATCTCATTTTGTTCAGATCAATCTATCTATCTCAGTTTATTTCTATCTATTTATCTATCTATCTATCAATCAATCTATCTATCTATTTATTTATCTACCTCATTCTGTTCATATCTATCTATCTATCTATCTATCTATCTATCTATCTCATTTTGTTCACATCTATCTATCTATCTCAGTTTATTTCTATCTATTTATCTATCTATCTATCAATCAATCTATCTATATATTTATCTATCTACCTCATTCTGTTCATATCTATCTATCTATCTATCTCATTTTGTTCACATCTATCTATCTATCTCAGTTTATTTCTATCTATTTATCTATCTATCTATCTATCAATCAATCTATCTATCTATTTATCTATCTACCTCATTCTGTTCATATCTATCTATCTATCTCATCTTGTTCACATCTATCTATCTATCTCAGTTTATTTCTATCTATTTATCTATCTATCTATCAATCAATCTATCTATCTATCTATCTACCTCATTCTGTTCATATCTATCTATCTATCTATCTCATTTTGTTCACATCTATCTATCTATTTATCGCATTTTGTTCATATCTATCTATCTATCTATCTATCTATCTATCTCATTCTGTTCATATCTATCTATCTATCTCAGTTTATTTATATCTATCTATCTATCTCATTCTGTCCATATCTATCTTTCTATCTATCGATCTATCTATCTCCTCCTCTTCGTATCTGTCTCATTCTGTTCATATCTATCTATGTATCTATCTATCTCATTTTGTTCAGATCTATCTATCTATCTATCTATCTATCTATCTATCTATCTATCTCATTCTGTTTACATAAGCTACTATAGACTGGCCCGAAAACTCTCTTCATTTAATTCCTACCGAGAATCTGTGGTCAATCTGCAAGGAACGATTTCATGGGATGGGCATATGAAGTACTAACATGGGCACTAGATCATGTTTCATTGGAAAAATATGAAAAAAAGTAAATAATAACAGAATTATTCGTCTTGTTTCAATTAATATGCACAATGGTGTATAGCTGATGTTTTAACTAATATATTTCCCAATGGTATTTGCGCACAAGTTAATGTAAGAAACCCGACTGGAATTTGAACTCTGCTCTCTGATTTCCATTACACTAAGCATCAAACAATAAGAATACCGAAATTATCGTTGCCAGTAAGGCGAACCCTGACGATTCACCTTACGTATTTCTGGTACACAACTAAACAATACGGGAACCATATGCAGGAAAGAGAAATTATAGATTAGGCGCAAATTATTACTCGTTTGTTGACGGTGTTAAAACAGATATCATCAGTGAATCAAAAGGAAGTATGGATGAAGGATTCATACCCCTGAATTTCTTGGATATCGCTCATTCCGATAACTATATGTTTAGAAGTTTGCAAAACTATTTGGTTAAAGTCAGACGCGAGAATGTGTCACAGAAGAATAACTATCGCATCAATACCTGAAGAACTTTAGACATTGGGAACTATTATTACCCGATTGTTGACGGTGTTAAAACAGATCTTATCAGTGAATCAAAAGCAAGTATGGATGAAAGTGCTGTTACAACCCAATCAAATGAGTTATCATGGAACCAACGTATGACTTCTCAGTCTAATTAAACAGACAGAGATAGTGAGATCAATAATGAAAAGACTGTGATAGATATTTTTTAAGGCAATTCACCCCAAGTAAGGCGGGAGTGTCACTAGCACACTGGGGGTTACAGAGGATAGAGAACAAGAGTAAAGAGGCTCGTTTGAGGAAAGGATACAGAGACGGACGGGGAACCACCTCAGGGTGTCAGATATCAATTGACATTACATTTGAATATTTGAAGATTATACTCATCGTGGAAGCAAGTAAGGGGAAGGGAGTTCCACAGACGGGAAGTGCAGGAGAAGAAGCTCTTTGAGAAAAAGAGACGGTTACATTTAACCGTTTTGGCAGTGGAAGGGTGGGACCGAAAATGCCAGCCTGGTAGCAAGTTGAAATTCATGTAGTCCGGGAACCAGGGAATGAAATTTGTCGGAACAGTTGCCGAGAAAATATTTGTAGAAAAGACAGAGGGAGGCCACAGCACGTCTGGGAAATAGCGATTGTAAGCTAGATGCCAGATCAGGACCTATCATCTTATATGAGATAGACATAAACAGACATAGATAAATATCAGGTCATCCCATAAATTCTGTCCGAATTTTGAATAGCGATAACAAGTGACCGATTCAATCAACAATATATTTTCCCTGATTATCTATGACTTCCTTGCATCTATTAACAAGCTTACTAATTCCATTACTGAAAGATTCTTTTGGCTTTGATTCGAAGAACTCACAAATGTCAGTTTTAATCTCTTCCTGTGTTACAAAAGCTGTTTCTTCCAAATGATTCTGTAAGCTACGAAACAAATGGTAGTCTGAAGGAGCAAGATCGGGAGAATAAGGTGGATGAGGAATTTTCTCCCAACCAAGTTCTTCGATCTTTTGTGGCGTGATTCTTGCTGTGTGGGGTCGCGCATTGTCCTGATGAAACATCACCCCTTTTCGATTCACTAGAGCAGGTCTTTTTTCCCTCAAAGCTTGGTTCAAACGCTCTAATTGCTGACAGTATATTTGAGCATTAATTGTTGCATTAGGTGGTAAGAATTCAAAGTGGATTATTCCTTGGCGATCCCACCAGATTAAAAAAAGAAACTCTTGCTCATGAAGTTCCCTTCTCGGCTGTGGTTGGGGTCCTTCCCCTTTACCAAGCCACTGTCTACGACTAGTATCGCTAGTCACAAGTCTATCCAAAAAAAGTGAAACAAGTTGGCGAGAATGTAGAGAAGAGCAGATGACAACTCGGGATTTGAGGTTGTTTTCAGACAATTCATGAGGAACCCATTTTCCAAGTTTAGGAACTTTTCCAAGTTGTTGAAGATGACGATCAACAGTTGTATGGTTTGAACTGAGAACCACTGCCAATTCCTCAACTGATACAGCTGGATTTTCTTCAAGGGCTGCTTCAAGAAGCTTTTCATCAAACTCAACTGGACGTCCGGTTCGATCTTCATCTTCAAGGGTGAAATCTCCACCTCTGAATTTTGCAAACCATCTTCTGCAAGTTCTTTCATTCACACATTCCTCTCCATAAACCGAGTGAATGTTTCTAGCCACTTCAGCTGCTGAGTTTCTTTTCTTGAACTCATAAAGCATTATGTGCCTCAAATGATTCTTGGGTACTTCCATGTTAGCAGGGTTTTAATCAAACAACATTTAATTTTATTGTTCTCTGAAATAAAACTTAATCAGTTTAAATGCATCTAAACATAAAAAATAATGTTCAGCTCCATTAGACATTATAAAATACTATTTAAATTTCGTTCATTTTAACGAAAAGTTAAAATTCGGACAGAACTTATGGGGTGACCTGATAGATAGACATGGATAACTTTTGGCCGATATATTGATAGAGATCGATAGACTAAGATCTAGATTCCTTGTTGTTTTAATGATCAATAAATCTAAGCACTCACGGTCGCTTGTAAATGTGGATGATGCAGAAAATGTCGGATGATGACAAAAATTTGTCGGAGAAATCCGGTGACGACTGGCGCAAGAGACGACGACGTAAAAACGAACCAAATGTCATTGAGCTTGGAGAATCCGTAGAAAACAGGAGAGTGGACATGAAAAAGCGATAGATCCATATCTGACCGTTTAAATGGTGATTAAGTGCATATTGATATCAACAATCGATGTTGCTGATCCGTTGATAATACAATTGCACTCGATGCCGAGAGATAACAGAAAAACCAATATAATGATTCGTTGCATGATGTCGACAGAAATCAGTGTGTTGGTTTATACCTCGATCGAATGTAGACTAAGAAAGATAAGGGAAAAAAATTAAAGAAAGACTGATAAGAATAGATTGAACAGTATACATATATATATATATATATATATATATATATATATATATATATATATATATATATATATATATGACAATCTGTATATCTTCTAAAGTTTCTAAAATATTATTACAGTTAGATTTACGTTAAAAATATTCAAACACAGTGGCGTTTCATATCACGTGACGTCCGCATCTCGGGGCGGACGCTACTTGTAAACAAACCTCGAAAAACAGTTATTTCTGAAGAAAGATCAGGCTCGATATGAAATATCAAATATAAATAAATACTTTCATAAAAAAACATTATTATTTTTTAATTTGCAACTTTTTAGTTGTTTTAAATATATATATATATATATATATATATATATATATATATATGTGTGTGTGTGTGTGTGTGTGTGTGTGTGTGTGTGTGTGTGTGTACTGTGACGAAATTTGCGGGGATTTTAAGGTCTACTCAGCATAGTTGCAGTATAAACCACAGGTGGGTTTCTGTGGGTGTTTAATAAACAAAAATGCGCCTGACCAAGCGTCTAAAATAGGGATTGGCAAGCCGCTCTAATAGAAAGTTATCCTCAAATAAGAGTGGCCAGCTATATGTGTGTATGTTTGTGGTGCGTGTGTGCCTGTAATTGTAATGGTAAGGCTAAAAATTCACTTTACAAAAGGCTGAACAATTGCTGGATTATATTTTGATGAGTTGCATTGGTATGCTTCAAAATACGACTGCAGTTGTATAGCGATTTTGACATATTTTCGGTGTAATATCATAAACAAATATTATTTTGCTATTTTGTATTAAGCCCACTTTTTAAATTAAATGTTATGAACGTTGGAATTGTATTCCATTTGTTCTCATCTTACCTGTATATATATATATATATATATATATATATATATATATATATATATATATATATATATATATTTAAAAAAAAAAAACAGACCCCTTTAAGGTACCATTATAATAATCTATTCCACCAGAGTCCTTTTGAAGGACGCCAGATCATCAGATAGCACTTCCAAAAATGAAATGAAACGAAAAATTAAATTAAAATTGATGGGTAGTCTAAGTTTTTGTAATTTAACCGAGAGTGTGAAAGGGATGGTTAAATAGACATGATAGAGTATAGGGAGGGATTAATTCCATATCTTTCTCAAGTATACTTTGTATTAGGGGAGGAGGAGTGACCAGACCTTGACCTATTTAGACGGTTAACTTAACGGAAGTGATATATATATATATATATATATATATATATATATATATATATATTGTGGACTCTCCTGTACTATTCGATGTATGAGAGTCAAGCAGCTCAGTTCACCAGCACATATGATTTGATTATAGTGGTGAAGGCTTTGTGCAGATTTAACCACACTTTTTAAATGCTCAAAAAGTTAATAAGTTGGTTTGACATTTTTGTTTTGTTTTTTACTGCTGTGATTATTGACATTGAGTCAATATATATTTTACATTTTTTATATTTGCTTGAATTAATGATTGTTTCTGGATGTAGTTTATCCTCATGCCAAAGACCATTTACTAAGACTTGTTAGTCATCTAAATTTTGAACAAGGGTCGGAAATTAAAAATTCATCTTTATTTGTCAGGCATCTTAAACTTCACCAGTCAGTATCAAGTATCTTAACGTTTAGCAGGAAGTCCAAAACATCTTAAATTTTACTAGGAATTTAAGCAACTTAAAACTTTCCAGAAAATGTCTAGAAATCCTAAACTTCAACAGGAATTGTTACTCATCCTAAACATAAAATAGACAGTGCCAGGTATTTTAAATTTTATCAGGAAGTATCATGGATTTAAAGTTTAACAGGAGGTGCAAAAAATCTAAGTAAGTGTCAGTAATCTTAAACTAAACAAAATTTAGAAAGCATCTTATTTAACAGAAAATACAAAGTCTGTCTATATTTCTTATATCAGGTATTATGATTTCTTGCGTTATTTACATTATTTTGCCTGTTATCCTTATCTTCACTGCTATATTTACAACGTTTCGGCCGTTGGACGCTCCGGTCTTCTTCGGGAAATTGGAATTTCGTACCGAACCCTTTATTTCGTCCACCCGAGTAGATTTTTCGAGTTCTACGTGCCATGCCTTAAGGACACATGGCCCAGTGAAAAAAATGGTTAGCTCCAGTGATTAGACCCGAAGAGTTGTGAGTTCAATACCAGGCCGCAGGAGTGGTGAACAAAAACTTGGAGTGTTGAGTTAAAGGGAAATAACTGAGACATCCGGAAGAGGCATGGCACATGGAACTAGATCAATCTACCCTGGTGAACGAAAATAAAGAGTTCGGTTCGAAATTTCAGTCAGCTGAAGAAGGCGTGAGAATGAAACGGCCGAAACGTTTGGAATAAGGCAATGGAGATGAGGATAACAGTCGGAATAATGTAAATAATAAAAGTAAAGTAGAAGGTATCTTAAATTTCACCAGGAAGTTCTACGCATGTAAAATCATATAATTATGTAATATTTCACAGGGAAGTGTAAGGTACCTAAAATCCCCACAATTTTATCAAAAGAGGGCGAGTCGAATTATTCTGTTATGACACTGAATTTAAAGATAGGACAATTTGAACCGAAGACTCACCTGTACATGTGCGGGGATCCAACATAAAGTTGAAAATGTGTTACATTCTTAAAACGAATATTTTTTTTCTTTTTCATATATTGTCAAAGTTTTTAATTTCTTTTCATTTAACTTTCTTTGATCTCTGTTCAACTTTTTTCAAGTCCCACTGTTGTGTCCCTGTCCATATATAACTAACGATGTCGTCTTCAACTTTTGATGTTATATCTTTCTAATACCTCGTCACAGATTTTAAATGATTGAAATTCAAAAGTAAATGTATATGTATATGTATATGTATATTCATTTACAGTATGTTGAAGAATTCACGATTTGCATCATAAAATATCTCAAACAAATTAAGGTAAATATTTGAAAAGATTAGGTTGGTGCAAAAAATAATGACGTAAGAATGTCGTTTTTTGACGTTAAAAAATACGTCAAAAAACGACATTATTACGTCATTATTTTTGCACCAACCTAATACTATAGGAGAGGGACGCAATATTTGAAAACAAACTGACCACTACGTTTGCTTGTTTTTGTAATGGAAGAGCGAAGAAGTTTGTAAACTGGAAGTTGCTTGTGATGGAAATTTAACGACCTGAGAGGTCGAAATTGGTTAAGTCATCCATATACTATGAGACTCGTTGTAGCTGACGTTACCACACAAATCGATATCCGTTCAGTATCAACTGAGTCACCGTGGGAAAGCGGTATGATGTTGTAAGAATAGAAAACACACACAAACATCCATGATAACGGAATGAAAATATTTCTGAAATAGATATTTCATAATTATTCTATTAAGATAAGCATATTCTTGAGACGTGCCAGTATCCCCAAATTCTAAGATTATTGCGAAAATTTACATCTAAAAAAAAATTCCGATATTGTAATCTATCCGTATCTATCGGTCTATTCATTTTTTCTATTTATCTATCTATCGATTTTCAATCTTTTACCCTGTATCCCCTTAAGCAGATTTTCATAAAGATTATATAGATATGAAGAGATTGAGGTTGCTAATTATCTATATACATAAATATTTGAGCGATATATATTTTCTTGCTTGCATGTGGCTTTAAACAATGTCTATAAATCTCCAATTATTTTAAACAAGTAATCCTTAAAATTCCACTTCATTCAGCATTAAATTAGCGTCAAAACACATTTTCAATCCTTTAAATTTTTATATCCGATTACGCGCAAGCGATAATCCTATTAAAATATTTATAGCCAATGTTTTCAACTTTTAATCTCATGTTAGAAGTTATGAATCACACAACCTCCGACCCATCTAAGATTTGAACAGAATTTCAGATCTGTATTAAGCTGAATCAAATATTTGCATAATTTTTGACAAAATCTTTTCAACATATAAAACAAACGAATTTTTTTCCATCATCAAAAACCTTACGACTTATCGTCATCTTCTTATTAATTTCTGATTTTAATAGATTAATTTCTATCATATTCCGATATCTTCAAAACTTTTGAAACAATGGCCAGATAATAATTAATATTTGAATAGAGGCAAACGATAGTTTACAAGGAAAATAACTGGAATTTTCGAGACATTTAAAAGTATGGTCCATCAGAAATCTTAAACGTAATATTTGCATCCTAAAAATGAGAACTGTCAGGATAGAAAATCCATACTTGATGCCATTGCGAAAATAAAGTTTTTTTTTGTACTGTAATTTGAGATTCAAACATGTCAGTTGCTCACTGTAGCTTTACGTAGTAACGGTGTGGTACAGGAAAGACAATGTAGCAAGTCTTGAGTGAGTCAATTTAATCATGCAAAGAGGATATAGCACAGCCATATTATCAAAGAAAGGAAAAAAATCTTACGGTTCATTCTGGCCATTTAAGAACCAAAATTAAAAAGGAAGACGTCGCGATGGAAGAAGAACTTGACAGAAAAGAAAGGATGGGTTCTTCAGATCAGGAGAATGCAAGAGCCTATGGATGATAGCGGGAGAATCTTAAACGTATTATTTGCATCCTGAAAATAAGAACTGTCAGGCGAGAAAATTCATACTTGATGCCATTGCGAAAATAAAGTTTATTTTGTACTGTAATTTGAGATTCAATCATGTCAGTTACTCACTGTATCTTTACGTGGTAACGGTGTGGTACAGGAAAGACAATATAGCAAGTCTTGAGCGAGTCAATTTCATCATG